ACACACACAGAGCCTCTTCCCAATATGCGTTTTTGCAATTTACATACATGCAAAAACGCATAAAAACAGTATTTGCCTGGGCAGGTTTCATACCACATCTGTGCCAACTTCAAAATGGCGGCAGAAGCTTCTGCATAACAGTTATACACCAACCTTCGCAGAGTAAAGCAGTTCCCAACGAGGCTCGTCATCAATCGTTGTAGCTTTTGAGAGATTCAGAAAATACGTATGAAAATCAGCGACGCGCTAAAAATATGGAATTTCGCAAATGTGCGAGAGCATATCTTCAGTACATCGAAAAAAGTTGTGAGTGTCAAGATTCCTACGTGGTTATATGTTTTGTGACAAGCTGTTGGGTGTTCATAATAGGTGAATGCGACAGAACACATATTTCTTTCATCTTGTTACAGCGATTTTTTGACCCATTCACCGATAATAATAGGAAGTTTAAGTAAGTGTAAAGATTTCAAGTGACGAACTACATTTGGGCCTGTACTGGCAAAATATTAGGCTGCCTGACCAAACCATTCACATTTTTTGCCTTAAGATATGAAAATTGCTTTTGTTATTTTTGGTCGTGAAAATTGATCCCATTTTTTCTGGGCCAGAACGACGATTACAAATTTTAGTTTCTTAGCTGCCATATATCTGGAGTTGAGTCACTGCGACAGATGAACGCTCACAAATGCATGGGAAAGCACCCACTTGTTTTATTTGGCCCTTATACGCTTTTTGATGATTTTCCTGTTATTTTTACTAATATTCCATCTCTAACGACAGCAATTTACACTTAATCTTTTGAAGATACAGTAAGATCTCCTAACAGAAGCATCTGGCAAGTCTTCAACAGTTTCGAAATGGCCTTAGTGTGCATTAAGCATTCTGAACACTGTCATTCTTGTGCATGTACTCTATCACCTTGCACATTATCACATGATATAATGAGGCAGTGTTGTTTGACTGACGAAAATGTCGAGAATACGGATTAAAAAAAGACGTACGTAGTTGATGCCTGGCTCAAGTTCATAAATTCGGAAGGCAGGATTGAGGTATGTATAAGTGGTAACGCTTGGTGAAGCGTACAGGACGTTGGTAGGAGTAGATGAGTCATCGTCCATATTTTCATAGAAAACCGTAAAGCTGTCCACGTGAATATGCCCATAGAACTGTGCTTGAATGGTTTTCGAATACCTTAAAACTGAATGCTGGGATCCTTAAAGCTCCTTATAAATTTGGAATTTGTCTGAGCAAGAGATAAAGCAGCAAGTAACCAAGATACGCAAGGCGATCGGTAGGAGTATCCTATATTAATGATTTTACCTAGTTGGTCCCACACGTCGAGCGCAGTTATATTAGGCTTAACCTTGCCTGGCATTGCCAAGATACTAAATTTAGAAAAATTAGGGCGCACAAAAGCTGAAACAATAGAATTCTGTGAGATAATAGAATGATAACAAAAATTAGAAAATAATCAGCAAAATGAAACCTGTTGACGATTTTATAGTAATTTCGAGCCCAGCTTTCCAGGCACTCGCCATCGCCTGGCGGAATATGGGAAAGAATGTGTACGTATTGTTCATCTTCTTCTGCACGCTGAAGCTCCTGGACGAGCCACGCCAACGTACCATCCGGATCCGTTTGATTGATGTACAACCAGCTGTATTTATTTCACGTGTTTATGGATAATGGTGTGGTTGTGGAATTCACAGTTATTTAGTGGATCTTTAAAGAATTTTAACAAATTCCAATATTTTGAATTTTACACATATCATGCTTGTTAAGACAAGTTAATAAGATCGTATCTGTTTGCTACTAGTAATTTTGGAAATTAAGCATGCCGATCAGTTTGAATTTTGACTGTGTTCACCGGTCAGCTCACAAATTTAAAACAAATTTCTTCAGTATGTTACGCAATA